CGTTAGTATTGACAGGTGGGTCAGAGAGTCGCCAATCAGCAAAAGAATCGATTAGACTCTCAAGAGGTCCACTCCCCTTCTCACTTGGACGAACACTCCTTTTCCCAGTCCTTGCCCACTCCAGACGGTCACTTTCCCTCTCTCCCTTCTCTCTCTCCCTCCTCTCTCTCTCTTCTTTCCGGCGGCGGGTCTCCACGGGCATCGGAAATGAACTCAGAAAAACAGACTTGAAAATTGGACGTAGAGAGCAGCAAACCAAAAAAAAAAAAACAAGTTCAAACGAGAGGTCTGATCCAGCGACCCAGTCTACTGCATACGAGGTCCTCTCGAGTCCAGTCTGACCAGTTCTGTGACCGTACAACAAACCAGACAACGAGTGACTAAATGCAACAATGGAGAATTGAGTAGTGTACATGGTGCGAGTCAAGCCATGGACAGTGCAATCCGAAAAGACATGCGAAACGTCCCAGCCAAGATTCCCCCGACAGTGGGTGTCCTAATCCAAGAAGAATGAACTCCGTATCCCAGCCAAGAAGACAAGAGGTCAATGCCTAACCGATTTGGGTCCAGAGGCTCTTCTTGTTTGGGCCCGGTCCCGCTGGGTCCCAGAGGTCCCACGTAGGTCGCAACCAGGTCCCAACCAAGAGAAGTTCCACATAGACTTAGTTCAGTTTCTACTGCACTGAAAAACGAAATTTCAAGTTCTGGCAGAACCTACAGACTACAACTGTTCAGAGATGAAAAGACAAAGAATTGTAGAAAGATTTGGGATTTAGATCAAGATACTTCATTTTCCATGCATCAGGTGAGTAGGTAGATCACATGCATTCAGTCACACAATCAAGACCACAGAGGAGTAGGAAAAGAAACCACAGTACCCCAGCAGGACAATCAATAACATACACACATACATGGGCATCCCGTAGGTGCACGACACTTACCTGAGTGTCCTTGAGCTTCGAGATGAATAGAACTCACCCCCGTCTCATGTGGTCCTCCTGACCCCTCTAACGCTACCCCTACAGTAGCGTCCTATCTCCTAGGAGGGTCTGACTCCAACACCAAAGTGCAACGCCGAACCCCCCCGTCGATGCTGAAGAACAAAGTAGAAACTTGCAGTCCGTAGATGCTGAGTGGCCGCTGACCCTCAAGCTCGCCTACTTGAGGGGAGCCCTTAAGTTGCCAAGTGTCTCCCTTGAATCAGATTCTAGGTGCGAGTGCCTCTCACTGTCGCCTCTCTCAAATCGCCGCATGAAGTCTCCTCGAAATGTCTCGCCACCCTAATCTCACTCTCAAGCAACCTGGTTAGGTTCTATGTCGACCCCACATGACCTAACCAGGTGGGGATTAGCCACACTGCGCCACTTCCCTCGACCAACCAACCCTAACCCTAAGTGTTGCCCTCAACCACTTAGGTTAGGGTTAGGGCAGCAAAGTCAACTCTCACCAGCAAGTAGAATTCGCTCTGATACCAATGTTATGACCCTGGCCAATTTCGAGTTACACATCCATCGGAAAGTACAATGCCATCCAATTGCAGAAAGAAACGAATGAACTTGAGAGGAGAGAGAGAGGATTAGAAAAAGAAGAAGAAGAAGTAAGAAAGAAGAAGAAGATGATGTACACCAACAAAAACAGATGATAAGGCTCTTCTTCTTCGCCCAACAATCTCCTCCTCCTTATCTCCCCCTTCTCTTATTCATACAAGAAATAATAATACAATGTTGAATGACTGATCCAGAATCTTCTACTGCAGGTATCACTTGAGGACCACCATAGCCATAGGCCGAGGCTATGGCGGACTACTAGGCCTTGCCCAGATGCCCAAAGGACAACCCAAAGCAGCTATGGCTGCTCTAGCTCAGGCCGCCATGC